TAAATGCAGTGCGCTCATTTTTCTACTAGGCGATTACTGGAATGAGTGGGAAAGTATCGTTTTCTCTAAGAATCTGGATTAGAGGTGTGAAAATTTCTGTTTTCCTCACTGTTTGAGTTACAAAATTTGTGAAGAGTCAGATCGCAGTGGTGGTATAGAATATCTTTGGTCTGTGATTCACATTTTGCATGTTGTACAACCTTTGTGATGTGACGGGATAATAATGCAGTTGAACCAATTTCTTGGCGTTCCATCCTTTCAGACGCAAACTACAGATCAACGGACCCCTTCCCTTAAACATGTTTGCTGTTCAAACGCGATTTTTGCCTTTACCGATGCATGGAGATTCGAAAAACATCTTTGATTAATATTGATCAAGGTTATTTATTGGGTCATTGGCAGGCAGACACACCCATTGAACGTATTTTCTAGAAAGTGCTAAACTGTAGCATTTTTTGAACACTGGGATGCACTTTCTGCTCGTGTCCTTCATGGGGTTTACATTAAGAATTTGAATAACGGCATCATTCGATATTTACCCTGAAGGCTGGAACAGTGAAGAGGCGTTACTGCGGCAATATAATAACCAGACCGAATGCATGTTTCATTCAGCCGCCTCCTATAAAATTTTTATTGCCCAGCTGGAGCTGTAAAAGGTTTCGCTGAATTTAATTAAATACCCTGCCTCTTGCTGTCGCGCTGGCTCAGCTTCTTCGTCGATCATCAAAACCATAGAAACCTCGCAGACAAGCGCGAGATTATGGTATAATGAGGATGCTGAAAAACATTAATTTGCTGGTGTCATTGGCCCAATTGATTTAATTTGTAGCCTGTTTAATCCCTCCAGTTTTCCCCCTTTGTTAATCTTGTTGTAGTATATTTTTGTAGACCGTAGTTTATAATACTTTATTATCGCACTTACGTAAGTAATCACAAATTCTGAACCGAACCAAATTAGTTTCACGATCGAAGTCTTCGTCACGTGTTACGGTAACTTACTGTAATTCCGTCTGGCGTAGTCCACCTTATTTTGCACTTTTATGAAAACGGTTGGATGTATAAGAAATATTCAAGTAAACTTACAGCGCAGTTGACAAGAAAGTCATTTGCAGTTTTCCTCCGTTCTTGTCGAAGATCGGTGAGTCATTTTAAAACGTAATGATCCAATGCACTTGAATAGGATCTTGAAATCTTTTCTGCCGCGTTTCTCGTCTTAAATTTCTGACTTTCATCAAGACGATCAAAGGCAGTCTTACTGTAGAAAAAATCAACCATGTGAATATATGTAAAAAACAGTCCAGTCGGCACTGTTTGATAAAACAAGTTTTACTTTAATCTCTTTTAAGCTGTAAAGTGTTTCGGCAAATGACGGAGGCATTTAAAGTTTGGTTGTAAAATTTCATCGCTATTTCTTAAAACTTTGAAACGCTCCTCAAAAACGGCTGCTGCTGTTGCGCTGAGCAGCCCGCTACGATGCGCTCATTCGCCGCCAATCACCAGTTGAGCTCAACGCCAGGAGTTTCTGTCGCTGCTTACGTTTAACTGAGTTTCACTGACCTCGATTTCTGTTTAGCTCAACGTGCTGAAGCCTGTAATCATGCCGACTCTATCTAATTTACTCTGTACGCGCATATTTAATATGCAATGTACGGTCACCCAGCTATGGTACATAAATGCCCTGTCGACGACTACGCACAGACGACGGCTTGGACAAGCTGATCAGTTTATCGCCATGCAATAAAAGCCACTAAATGACGCTACACTAATTTGTGTTTTGTTCCTTCAAAATTATGACCAAATAAAACACTTTTGCGATCTTAATCTTTATGAAACATCTGTCCCTTGGCAATCTGTACCACTCAATTGTATACGGAAGGCTGAATGTAGCGCAGTGGCTGACACGTGATCCCGTACTATTAAACTGATTAATTCAAAGCATTAGTTTTGGAAGACCTTCGGCAACGAACTCACCAGTTCCCTTACTTTGCACCAAAGCCGGAAACTGCAGTGTCACTTTCAGATTTGTAATGTTATTAAATTTGTTTTTGAACTGAACTCAGGCGTTGTCGATCCCAAGCCCAGATGAAAAAACAGAAGGATCAGGGACCGTAGCGAGAACTCCCCTAAAACCTAAAACTTAGCGACTCTTGCCTCATGATGTGTCGTTCTCGAATGTGATGCCGACGCTCTCACTACCTGGATGACTTAGAGCCGCGCAAGCTGATCAAAAACTGAGCCTCCGGCAGTCAGTACAGTACTATTATATCACGTCAGATAAAGTTTCATCGGAACGATACCGAGAGTTCGAGCTCACCGCTGGAAATTGGAAGATCTCGTGAAGGAGCGTGAGCAAGTTAATGAAAAGCAAGGTACCGACAGGAAATAATTAGACTCTCG